TAAGATATGACCATAGTAGCTACGATTATGTAGCTTTCCGTTTGATTTATAATTAAAGCTCATTTTCTTTTTTTGGACATTTATACCTTGCTGAGCATCTTTTTATAAAAAATATTTTTATAAAGCTCATGATATACATCACAATTACCATGACAGGAGACTTTTGAAAACAACCCTCTTGATCTTTCGGTACACATAAATAAGCGATTCATTTAATTTGCACACCGAAAACACTGATAAAAATTTCTGTCTGCTTCAAATTAGATAGAAATATTCAATGCATCAACTAATTATTGCATTGTTTTGTGTATAAAAAGACAAATAATATTAGAAATAATTTACCACTTAATTTGTGAATGAATGATGAGTTGTTCTGAAACAGATCAATTCGGACATTTTGTCCACTGTAAGTATTCCAAGTTTCATGCATCTTCTGTAGCTTCTCCAACCCAATCAAAAAACAGTTATATCAAATCTTAAGGACTTATCCTTTAGACAATTAAAAGTATCCGATAAACAACTGGGAAACATCACATGTAAGTTGGCTGTTTAATTTGAATTAGTTTTAGTTTATCTGATACATATTGAAAAAGTTCGACTTTTAAAGAACACTTTTTGCTTAAATTTAAACCTAGGCATGCAGAGCGAGGGATTTCTTCAGATGACGAAAATGATTTAGCGCTATATCCTTCATGGACATTACTTTTGATTCGTTAACTCGGTATTTTTATAATTAATCATAGACATACATAGGATATACGAAATTGCATTTTCGTGATATCCGAATAGCAGAAAATAGGTTGATATAACTTTTACAATAACAGTTCCCACTGAAAGCATAATTGGTCGCCTGAATTGTTCTTTTACCTATTATAAATTATCTTCGGACGTTTCTAAGTTTAAAACTTCACCATTACCATAAATAAATGTTAGTTATACATAAGCCAGTGTTAAGGGGTGTAGACGTAATGTGCTCTTTCAATTACCGGCCATTTACAGCTCAATCAAACCGAGTATGCAACATTGTCAATTTTGTTTTGTGCATTCTTTAGGGATTCTTTATTTCTCGCTATTTTTATAAGTGAGTTGCGGTGGTGTCTATTTAACGAAGTAAGAGAAGCTTTTCTCCAGACAGGTATATGTACCTTCAAAACCATCTTAAATTTGGTATGTAAATTTCACTAACTGAAAAAGAAATATCTTTAAATAATCAAGCCACAATAATAATAAATTATTACCTTATAGTAAAATATTGTGACGTGAACAAATATATCAAATTGGACATTGCAGTCCAAAGAGAATCAAAATATGCAAAGTAGCCCTTACTGTATCTATTGCAAAAGAACTATAATGATAAATAAATCAGTCATTTATGGCATATAACATGTCAATTATTAGTTGCAATTCGATTTTTTACATTTCTTAAAATATTATTATATTTTTCCAAAGTTGGATACATGTATTCTTGAAAAGTTTTGCTTCTCTTGAGGCAGGGAGCGTTAAACAGATAACTGTAGCTGCTTTTCCGAGCATTGTATTTTTTGTAGAAAAGAGACGACCACAAACAAGGATCACCAAATTGGCAAAATTATTTTATGTTTATAATTATACTTTTTAAACTAATTGTATTTTATTTTGTTTCAGATTCACTTTTATTCACTTTCCTAATATTTTATAACTGATAAGAAGTATTATTCTTATACAAAGTGTCTTTGGGATCCAAACTTGCGTCACAAACATGAATAAAACAAAAGAATTATAATTATGAGACCCATTGGTACCCTTTTGGACCATTTCTTTCTGACAAGGTAATTTGAATTAATCGTTTGTTGATTAAAGCTGCATGCCTTCAAATGAACCAACATATTTCAAGAGAATCAAACTTGAACAAAATGTCAAGAATTTAAAAGAAAAGTGAAAAAAAACATAAATTTTTAGGTAAAATAAATGTACATGCTATGTACACTTACTGACCGATTTTGCAGTATTTATCACCACATTTCTACTGCGTTACTAACGCAGTTAGGGCTATTTTTGCATTTTTTGACTTATTTTTTGTAATTTACTTTTGTTATAATTATGTTCCGATTGCAGTGCATTAAGTATTTTCTTTATTTATTTCACTATATTTTTACTTTTTTATGCATCTTCAAAAGTTTCATGAAAATTATCAGGAATCTTGGGGCGTGCTGCTTTAAGGATTTAACATCATATAGCATTAATGGTCTTGAAATTCTCCAATACGGAGCGGTTACTGTAGTAGAAATCGGTCTCCAAATTCTTGATAACAAATTATATCTTATTATAACTTGAGATATAATTTGCAGTTATGTAAATGGTTTTATGACATCATTATCCTAAATGATGTTGTAACTATAAAAAATCAATCTTGTCCTGACATATTGTAACAGCCGCTCTGTAGATTTTGTAACTTGGAACCAATGTTTAAAGTTTTTATTCAGCTGAAGGTTGTTACATTTTTTGTTAAAATGTAGGTTAAAAGCGATTTGAACAGATTAACCACAAAATATCTTATTTTAGTAATGTTGAAATCTGACTTCACATATAACAAGGGTCATTGCGCAAAATAGCGAGAACATAAACTGTGTTTTTGCAGCGGAATATCAAAGGCAGGATATTCTGAAGTATGCGAAAATTTGTTAACCAAAGGAAAAATCAATTGTGCTTTGTTTGATCCTTAATGATTTTAACTTTAAATTTTTAATCTTGAAAAACCATTACGTTTATCTTTTGTTTGTAAAGGTTTTCTTTAAAGCAATTAGGATTTTTGAAAAATGTGGTCTAATTTCAGGGGTTTTCCATGAATTTCCGAATCTGTTTTTTAAGAGTAAAAAAAGACTTTTTTTTCGACATTTAAAACATTTTGGAGGAAATTTAAAACGAAAAAGAATTTCATATTTAATTAAATTTAAAGGCAAAAAATTGAAAAATTTTGAGAAGGAAACGTACATAACATTTAATTGCTAAATGAAACATATAGCTTGGTGGTAAATTTGCTGAGACAAATCCATATTAGAGACCTAGCGATTGCATTATCTTGTTGAAAGTTCTAAAACGCAGGTTGACGTCATTTTTAAACAGACTATTCGGGTATCTCAACATTGATGTTCCTCCCTCCAACAATATATTTAAAGGAACGCCAATGAGGCCCAAAAGTCTAAAAAATGAATTCCTTACCATGATCGGGTAAGGCACTTAAACTAAAAATGTTTACAAGAGATTATTTCGAAAAATACCCAGAAATATATTACAAATCGTATTATTGATTTATTCATAACCCGATTTGAATGAAAATCGTTGCAACGCTTTTTCACTTTTTCAGTATTTTTTTTTTAATTTTGAAACCTATCAGGCTGGAAAAAAGGAGTGAGCCAATGATCTGACATTCAGAATACAAATCATTTGTGTAGACATCATATGGAACATTAATCTCGAAAAAAATTCCAGTCCTGTCATGTCAAAAAACGTCAGTGGAGTATCTATAAAGAAAAAGCATCTAAACATATCTAACCACGTATAAAGTCAATAACTTAAGGGACAACCCTCTCACGCGAATGATATAACATCATATGTTAATTTTCTGCTAGAAATTGCCAGCCCAAATATTTCCTGTAGCTTCGAACATAGTACAATGATGACGATAATGGCTCTCCTTCTGAAAAACGGGATCTTTTTGTTCATTCTCGGTTTGAGCATTATAGTTTATGCAATTTATGGTTTGGAAATAAGTACAGAATATTTCCGTGTCAACAACCGTAGCAAAAATTTTAAGAAGTGCACAGGAACAATTCTGACCAAGGTACTGTTTAACATCTGTTTTTTATTATGTGATTTTAAGCAAGTTAGGTGATTTTAAATTGAAGCTGCATGCTCTAGATGAGCCAAACCTCAAGAAAATTAACCTTGAGAATTAATTATTTTCATTTAGGAAAAATATCATAACTTAAGAAAAAACGTTTACATCTTATATGCAATTTTTGACTGGTTTTATATTTATCACTATGTCTCATGTATTACGCAGTAATGACTTTTGTTTTGCACATTTGGGCGTATCCCTTGATCATTTTAATAGACTTTCAGTGATGAATGAAATCGGCAACTCAGCTTAAGTTTATTAATCGTGTAGACTAAAATTACAACACAAAAGGTGTAGACTAAAATTAAAATACTCCATTGACCATTTTAATGATTTTTATTTCACAATCGCTCAAACAGAATACAGTAACATGAACTGAAAACAAACTTTCGCTGACCTATGTTGTGAATAAACTGACTGTCTTCAGTATAAGCACAATATTCAATCCCTTGGCAAATTACCCCGAAATGAGAATAAAGATGCCTTTTATAATTATTATTATTATTAATAATTTTATCAAATTACAATGTATATATTTTTAGATTGTTCATATTTTTTTTCAAATTAAAACTATTGAGGACTTCATAGGTTTCTAAGCATTTATTTAGAAATAAGACAAGGTTATAAATTGTAATTGATGCTTTTTGAAATATGTAAACTCACTAACGTAAAAATAATTGTATATAATACATATAAAATGTAACTTGTTTAAGGCAATTTACCAAAACTATGGACATGAAAGATGTCAGGAGGACGGACAGTTAGGAAATTAAATCTTCTTTACATATGTATAGCATATTGATGGTTAACACAATAATAGTTTTGGTTTCATGCCTTATTGTAAAGAAATTAGTATAATAAATCAATAAACCAGAGTGCTATATGGCATTTAATATCTTATAAATAGGACTTTAATTCTGCATGTCTTAACAAATAAATGCAGGGTATGTAATGTCACCTTGTGTGTGCATACGGTATTTGTATGTAACGATAACCATACCATTTTATAAATAAAGCACGTCAGAATCCTTATTATCCAAGGTCAGACGCAGAGGTCAAAGATTCAATTATGCCCGCCCATTCACCATGTCAGTACCTGATGGATTGTCACACCTTTTGGAATATGTCTGCATCACAGTCAGAGAAATTATTGCGGGCTAAACATACGTCTGTACCTGTAATGTCAAATTCATCCTGTCCAACATAAACTCGTTAATTTTTGTGAATTGTCAAAATATTTTGACAAATGTCTTCAAAGTATTCAGAAGCTGCTCCAAATGAAACACTCAGATCAAGTTATTTGTACTTGAAAATTGGAATGTAATATTATCCGTATGGTATGAAACCATTCCTAGTTATTTTTTTTTCAATGTAATTTATGTAGAATGCATTTCAATGTTCACCCCTTTTTAGCGCGAAAGGAATAATCATGCATTGTAAAGTTATTAATTTGTTATTTTAAATAGCCAGCACATGGCATCCGTGTATCAGAACTGACAGGAAAGTGTGAGAAAACAACATCTGACGATATCAAAGAAGCTGGGTATTCCTATGCAGAAACAGTAATCATGGACAAAAAGTTCACTAAGCCCGTAGAGGTAAGTCACTTTTTCAATTTTTCTTTATTCATCCGTAGTTTATTAATTCATTTTTATTTGTTTAAGTACTCTTAATATATAGTGTAATTTCTTAACTAAAGTACAGATACATACTTATATCATTGAAATACATAAAATCCCTATTATAAGGCCATCGACTAAAATGAAAATTCGAATGACATTGAGTTTTGACCGCTCTAATCATTTTAAATAGTTCGCTGGAAGTGTGCACTATTCACAAATCAAAACAAGTTTCAAACGCCTAGGGGAAGAAGAGTTTGAATCGTGGATTTTTTTAAATAGCCCTGATACAGGCAGCGGCATGCCAAGACATTCTAATTAAGACTGACTAGAATCTGTTTTTTTCTGATTTAAACTCTATTATTTAGTACTTAGAAAATCAGCATTTGAAGTTACTAAACACCTTATTGGGATCAACGAACTATTATTTATTTATTTAGGATTAAGAAGAAGCCTACTTTGTATTTTTACAGAGCAGCAATTCGCACATTCAATGTCACCTTAAGTGCTTATTAGATATTTGTTTCTTAACTCTGATTTAAAATGTTTTTGTGAGGTGTGATCTCATCAATAATGTTTTTCATAATTATATAAAATCAACAAACAATCATTCAAGTGAACATACTCTTGTTATATATACATATATATTCAGTTCATTAACATGAACCCCCCCCCACACACACATACGCACGCACGCACATACCGACATTTCCTCACACGCACCGGTGAATATTTAGGATATTAGGATAAGAATATTTAGGAACAGTTAGCTATAATTGAATCTATGATACAATTAAAGGGATAACCATTTTTACACAATATATACCTCTGAAGAAGACTTAATTGGAAAACAAGACTTTATCCTAGCAGAAAGTAACACGGGATACTGGTTGAATCTTTTATTTTACACTTGCAAGAATATTTTCCAGGTTATTCGTTTCTAACAACTTTCTATTACCGAGAACAAATATGTTTAGAAATGATAAAAGGTTATGAAAATCAAGGTTTTGGATTTTATTCTTCTCCACAACTTTATGTGGCGCTCAAGAATCTCGGAATAGGTGCCTGGGGTATAATAAAGCATAACCGAAAGCATATGCTGAAGTTTAACATTTTGAAAAAGGAGACAGCCCTGTGATTATGAGATGTCAACATTTAATCATCTGTACAATGATGAATACGAAAAGCGTTCAGGTTTTAAGTTTTTTAACATAATGCCAATACTTTTGGAAATTATGTCAGAGATCGTAAAGAAGATAATGGTCACAGGACTGTGGAACAAACTGTTATGTATGATGCTTACAACCAACATATGAACAGTGTAGATTTTTTTTTTGATAAACAATTAGGGACAAACGCGCACCCACATAAGTGTGCAAGTGGTATACAACCATTTAATATATAATATATAGAATTTGAGTGTTCTCACTAGTTCAAAATGCCTATATCATTTCAAAATTGTGCCTAATGGTTGGAAACATCTGGAGCCTAAAAGAAAAAGGGGAAGACTGTCGATTACCGAGTTGCCCGATTGTCTGACAGATCGATACTTCCCTGCACTGGTCGCTATCATGATCCAAAATACCGTTCTGACTACATTGCTACACAAATTGTTTCGCTTGCTGAATACTAACTATTATTGATAAGTAAGAGTTAGAATGTACACATTTCTTATTTACATTCTACAAAAAAATGTTTCGCGAAATTTGACGGTTGATCTTTTATATCATGCATGTATGTATGTGCATATATTATTACAGTCATGATATACACTGAACATATATGGAATGCCATGAGCAAGATATTAAAACGCCTTACAGTATTCTAAATAGGTTATGTCTACCTGATGTCTATTTTTGTTTTAGAACAAAGATAACTAACACAATAATTATCAAATTTCTTTATATTCAAATTTTTGTGATTTTAATTTCAAACCATAGTCAATGTCATTTTTAAATTAGTAAAGTAACATTATATTGTAATTATAATAATTTTAATACCATTTAAATAAATGCATGTGAAATAAACAATGTTGCATTGAAATATTACCTTTCAACGATAATAGCAAATCAGTACTTTTTTTCTACCAAAATATTTTTAACCTTGCATATGTACAGCTTAGTTAAAAAAATATTTATATGGTATGTAGTACATTAAATGCTGTTTAGTAAATTTGGAATGCATTTATTATAATTTCTTTTTACAAAAGGTATTTTTTTTACAAAATATTACAAATAATTTGGACAAATGTACAAAGATTTAATGATTTTTACTCTTCAATGTCAAGGTCATTAGGGATCCAGCAGAGCACCGACAGATCTGTAGTATAAGAAATTATATTTATAGTACACTTACCAAGTTTCTTAAAAATATATACGTAAATAATAACTATATAAAATTATTAGTCATGATACTAAGTTTACAAAAAATACCAACATAAAAGCGGCACTGAAAGAAACTGTTTCCGTTAATAGCAGTTATAAAATATAGAATACTGTTTTCTGTATTTATCTCTATAGATGTGACTTTAAATGTTTAGAATTAGTAAAAGAAAAATGCAAGTATTAGTTTGAAATGTTAAAAAGGTCATATTTCTAAGAAAATGACTGTTTAGCAAAAAACAAAACAACAACGTAAATTTAAAGTCAAGGTCAAAGATCAAGGTAATCGGGTCATACTAAAGAGGCATAAAGCTCAAATTATGCACAGTATTGTCCCTTGTTAATGAAGTTCCATATCAATATTGAAATAAGTTTTAATTCAAGACGGTAGTACAAGAAAGGAGTTATCAATTTATTCTAAATTTCTTTCATTCTCGATAGTCAATTTATTTTGTAATTTAATTTTAATATAATAATTTTGTTTTCTATGTTGTTCTTTTATATTTTACTCTTAGTATTAAAAAGTTGTATATAAAGTTTCCAGGACTAATCTGAAATGTTAAAAAAATCTCTTTTGTCTGAAACAATGACCATTATAGCAAAAAAAAGTTTGAAGGTCAAGGTCTTTCGGTCATACTTTAGTGACATAAAGTTTAAATGTTGTGCATTAGTGTATGCGAGCCTTGTTGATGAAGATTCATGTCAATATGATAAAAAGTTTCATTTCAAGACAGTACCAAAGATATATATTCAATTTTAATGAATTCCTTGAAATATATTTGGTATTGAAAACAGTGTATTCTGAGACATTTGGAAATGAAAGGGATAATTTTCAAAATCATCGAACAAACTACTTGGAAACAACTTGAACCGAAAAAACAGTTGCTGTTTATACCATTGTTATTTTAATTTCCATAGTTTTGAACTTTATTAAATATCAAGTGAAGTCAAGTTAAATACGTTATTGTCAAAAAAATATACATGTTCAACGCCATGTAACATTTTGGCGGTACTATACCAAGTACAGAAATGTAAGATACATACATTATAAATTATGCATATACATTATTATTTTTCAGCGTACATTATTTAAAACAAATGTATTAAGTAGATTCATTTCTTAGTTGCATTGCTTAATAAATAAATTCTGCTAAGTTAACAATTACATTTTTGTTCGTACATGTGTACATTTCATTATTGATATGAATTTATTTAAATTAGGCCATAAGCAATAATATATAAGTGAACATGTTTTCCTTTAGTCGTTATAATATGGACATACTAATAAGATGTGATATTCTATTTCAATTTGTTTCATATTGCATTGTGTACAGAGGTGTTGGTTTCTTTCAATATTTCTATGTCTACCCTCTTCAATACCTAATTTATGCGAAGAGCACCCAAACCTTGATAGCATTTTACGCTGTTTTAAATTAATTAACACAACTTAAATATTTCTCTTGGGTAATTCAATTTTATACAAATTATAACTTTCTTAAGTATTAAGTTCAGCACGCCATTGCTGAAACTGCTGATCATGTATTCTTTGTAAAATAGTATTAACATGCACAAGTGAAATATTATCATTATCCCATATATATGATAAACCTAAGTCTGACAACATATTTTTAACATTCTTTGGCCAGCTATTCAACAAATTACCATTTGCATCTTTTAAAAATACAAACTTGTATAAAAGAGAGTTTGGGGATTTCATAATTCTGTACAAGTACTTAACAATTTTGACTTTTCGTAGAACTTATAATGGAAATCGTACAAATTCACCAAGAACCGCTGATGGTGTTGTTTGCTGACGCACACCAAGAACAAAAAAAATTCAAATGTACCTTTTCGATGTCCTGTGCCTAATGAAAAACCCATACCTCTGAACTATATGTAAGAATCGGTTAAACCATGCTATCAAAAACTTTGATTTGTTTTTCTGCGACATTAAGGACAATATAATCAAATAAAGAATTAACAGAGTATTATGCTTTAAGTGCCTTTTGGGCTTGATAAAACTTCCCATTAGCCGATAATGTAACACCAAGATACGTGAATGACTTAACAACGCTAAGTAGCTCATTATTCTACTATACTTCTACATCTTCATTTCTATTTCCAGATTTAAAAACCATAGCAACCGTTATTACTACATTCACCACAATACCCAACTTAGAACAATATGTATGAAGTTTATTAAGGAGGCATTGCAATCCTACCTTAGAATAAGAGAATAAATTGTATCGTCCGCAAATAATAGCAAAATATGTGTATATCATCTTATGAAAATATATCAACATTATCTATTTGTAAATTTTCGTGCATATCATTTACGAAGAAAATAAGTGACAGAATTGAGAGTGGTTCCCCTTGTTTTAAGCCCATTAAACTATCAAAATTATCTGTCACGCAACCATTTGCTCTTACACAAAATTTCACACAATTATACATACTAGTAACATTGTTACAACTTTATATGATACACCAGATTCAACCAATTTAAACCATATTCCATTTCTGTTTTACATATCAAAACATTTTTTGAAATCACTAAATGATGCATATACCTTTTCCTTTTCATGACATATTATCTTTTAATAATTGAACATAAAATGCAGTCAGTAGTACTTTTATCTTTCCTAAAACCATACTGGAAACCATTCAATATTACATTACTTTCGGCCCATTTACGTAATCTAAAGTCTAACAATATTGAGAAAAGTTTAGAAAATATACTAGTAAGGGTGATACCCCTATAATTATTCACATCATTTAGATTACCCTTCTTGGGCACTGGTACAATAATACCATTACAACACGATTCAGGATATTCATTTGAATTGAAATTATGATTAAACAATTTACATAATATTGGTGCTTAGATTGTTTGGCATTCAATAAATATCTCCGGAAAAAAATTTATCTATACCAGCACTTTTACCACTCTTAAGGGAAGAAATAGCCTTTACCACATCATCGATTGTGAAATCCATTCATTCAACATTGTTGTAAAATATATCATGATTATCTAAACCTTCCTCAACGAAATAAATTTTGAATGTCTCTTCGTTTCTAAGTAAGTTTTTAAAAATGCTCAAAAAATCTTCCGATGACAGTTAAATTTTGGTTGATTTCTTTCTCATTTTTTTTTATTTTCTTCCAAAACTTTTCTGGCTGCATGCCAGCTAAAAAATGACATTTTCTTTCTCTGATTTAAATGAAATTTAGTACGTGCTCGCCTCTTAGCTATTCTATAAAGACGTATGTTATTAAAAAGTATTTTTTTATTTTGATTAGACCTGTCATTACAATAATTTTTATTTGCACATTTAAACTCTTTTCTAGCGTTCTCGCAGTCTTGATTAAACCATGAACTTTTAAATTTTCTTTTTCTATTATTTGTATTCTTTCTTATTTGTTTTGACTCTCCAAATATACTAAATGATTTTTCATACAAAACATCTGATATTTTCTGTATACCTGTATCTAATTCAACATCATTTCTTATTACAATATTCACAATCATGTCAATTTTCGTAATTTCATTCTCAATCAATTCTTTGTAATTATTCATCTTGTCACTATCTTCGTTATTCCATTTTAATACATTAATACTAACACTTTCATTATCAATTATTTTCGATATACATGCAAAACGCAAAACTCATATCAAGTTAAACAGGTTTGTGATGTGAAAAAGTAAACAAATCATGTATTTTAAATTCATGTACAAAGGGAAATAACTCGCATTGCAAAAGCACATAATCAATTAGACTTTTACCTGTATTCGACATACAGGTAAAATTGACTATACCTGCATCATTCCCTTATCTCCCATTTACAATGTTAAGATCAGTACTCAAGCATAAATTAAGAAGTTTATCATGTTATCTATTTTAGAACTTTGAACGAATACATTGGAATGATTCTAAAGGGATCAGTCCAGGCTTTCGATTTGACCTGTATTGGTCGAAAGAAGATGTTGAAAATTATTTTACGTAAGTGTTTATACATGTTATACTTTTCTTTTTTTGTGTGTTTTTGTCTTCCATACGGAAGCGTATCAGGGCCTCCTCTTATCTAAAAGTTTTACGTCATGTCAACTTGTTTCTTCTTGTTTTGACCAAAAACATTCCATGAAGACGTTATGATTAATACGTAATATATAAAACATTCAAAGAAGACGTTATGATTAATACGTAATACGTAGAAGTTTCTAATCATTGCAAAACGACTTTGTTGAATTACGTGAGCTATTTGTCAATACGAAAACGTTTATGCGTCTTACTAAATATTTCAGCAAAGTAGTGAAATCAAGAAGTTTCGACAGGATTTTGTCGAATAGACAAAAGCTTCAAACATATCGAGAAAGATTCAGTTACAATGCCTAAAAGCTTCTCATCTTTGTCAGTAAATTTTATTTAGAAATACAAAAAGATCTTATCAATGCCAATAAAAATAAGTCGACTAAGCGCAAAACATCTCACCAACTGAAGGCCCTGATACGCTTCCATACTTCCATTCTTAATATTAAATGTACATTTATGTATTTAATATTTATTTATTTATTTATTTATTTATTTATTTCTACTGTAATTATCTATTTATTCATTAAGTTAGTAAATCATATAGTTTGCGATTATTTGTTTAGTAAGATCATAAGTTAGTAAATTAATAAGTTTAATGAAAGTAATTAACTTAGTAAATACGTAAGTAAGTTAGTTATTAGTTAGTTAGTTAGTTAGTTAGTTAGTTAGTTTGTTAGGTTATTATTATATTGTATATACTTAACTTAAAAGAAAGTTAGTTAGTTATGTAGTTAGTTAGTAAGTTAGTTAGTTAGTTAGTTAGTTAATTACTTAGTTAGTTGTTAGTTAGTTAGTGAGTTAGTTAGATAGTTAGTTAGTTGGTTAGTTTGTTTTTTAGTTAGTTAGTTAGTTAGTTAGTTAATTAGTTAGTTAGCTAGCTAGTAGTGAGACGGTATATGTGTTTTACGGGGATATTTGCTCGAAAAAGAAAATCACATTTACCAAGTTCAGTATAACAACTATGAAAATATATTGCAGTGACAACCTGATTAAAATCGCATTTACTAATGCGTCACACAGACTCGATCTTTGGTAAGTATGTCTTTTGATACAGCTTATCTCATTTATAAATTCGACTGTTCGTATGCCGATGGCGAACCTTTTTGGATAAATTTATTACTGCAAATAATGAACTGTAAATATAAACATAGCAAACGACAAATATTAAGTATCTGATAAAATTTAGTTTGTTTCATAATGTATTGTCGCATACACACTTAATTTAATACCGTGTATGAAAAAGTGGTTTGTTTAAAAAGGAAACTTCCCGACGAACAAAAATGTTAAGGACAATCCGCTTTTGTTGATAATCCTGCAATTGACTTCAGAATATTAATATTAGAATTAAAGAAAACATCCGTCCTGTTTGTACCTTTTATTTGCTTTTGCTTGTATTTTCCTCGTGGTAGAATAGAATTATTTATAAGTAAATTTGATGTTTTTTTTTATTTTTCGGCATTTTTCAAGCTATTCTGTTCCAATATTCCTACATGAATTATCATGAAACGCCCTTAGGATATGTTGCCTGCCTTTTAAGTTTGTATTTTGACGTCTTATCTGTAATATGTAGGCTTCATAACCTCTGATAACCTTTCCAAAATTTCATTTTATTTAGTTTCGCCCATTGTTTTCTCATTTAGGACACACGCTTTCTTTTTCTTGGGGACCATAGCCGCTTTTCATGGAATAGCAAGAAAGTGTCACATTGATGGTTCCATAATTACCGCCGTATGAACACATCTATGGATGTTTTCTGAATTCAAAATTTCACCATTGTCACCAAAAAATGTTGAATTCTGCTTAAGCCGGTGCTAGGTGACGTGGACGGTAGTTTGCACTTGTCAGTACCGTCAATGAACAGACTTGCAACATTATCAATTTTGCCGTTTTTGACTTAATTACTGGATTCCTATTTTCTCTATTTTAACGTTACGCTTTTTGATAAATTTATAACCAACTTCAAATATAGATTACCATCATCATCATTAGTATCATCGTCATCAGCATTATTATCGTCATCATCATCATCATTGCTGTTTATATTAAAAATATCGTAATTTTCTGTTATTATTTTCAATATCATCTCTTTATTGAGTCAGCACAATTTGTTGGATATCTAGGTCTTAATATTGATGAAACGTGGTCAAGTTAATTTATTCAAAATGGTATTCTTTGAAAAGTAGACACACGTCGTAAATTTATCTATGGACAAGTTTGGTTTTTAGATTTCAAGACTAGAACATATTTATGTCCAGCAACTTAACATTGCCACTTAGATGATTTATTTTATTCTTTGCACCCAAGTCTGAACAATAGCAACATAATAGTATATATGAATGTATTTTTGATAGCAAAACCTATAACTAGAACTTATAACTTAAACAATTGATCAGTCTTCATGTTGCTTTTGTTTTACTCATGTAAAAATATTCGGGTCATGTAGCATGTTTCAAAAGTCTGTAATATATATTCAAACGCCGCAAATTACATAATTTTTTAGTCTTGTTTTAGTTGTAAAATGTTTTTGATTTTTAATAAACTTCATTATGACAAGCAATCTAGAGCTCTTTTAGACAAATTTTGTTTAATTTTATTTCACACACAAATGTGTAAGTGTATTATTTGTGTATGAGTTTTTATGTCTGTTATGTCTGTAAATGTGTTGTTTATTTCCAAAAGATCAATCAACCAAACAATCAAACATCAGTAGCAGCAGTTGCTATATTATCATCATCTTTACCGTGATCATCACGATCATTTTTGTCATCGTTATCATATATTTACAGTTACTGTTATCATTATCATAATTGTCATCGTCAAACAGGTTTTTCAATGAGAAAGATGTACTCTCGAAGAAGGAGAATATGATACTCTACGAACAGGAAGTACAAACTGGTAATGTAAGCAATACAATGCACAATACAATGCCGATTGTGAAAGCAGGACATAGAATTGTACAATTGTCAATTCTTGCGCAGAGTGAATCTTTGAAGGTATACCTTGCTTGATGTTTTTAATTAAACGAACGATTTATTTTTATAAACAAACCATGACGTGAATTGCAAAATTTCGTTTCTGTTTTCTATAAAGATGTAACACGTCTTTACTCTAAAAGT